GTTACATTGTGGAGGCTCAAACCATGAACAATTTTTTTTGGACATTTTCTTGGTGAGTACAAAATGATAACTCTTCACATTAGTGAAAGTTGTAGCATTTTTACACAGTGAAAAAGATGATTTTTTTTACATTGTATAAAGAGGTTTCCAGTATTCCAGATAAATGGGGGGTCTCAGATCAAAAACCCTACAAGGTCAGCTAGATGACCAGACAAATTAATAGGAAATTTATGATGATTTGGTGAGAACAGTGGGAATTGACCCATTCAAATTCCTTGTTGATACCCAACCTTGAAAACCTATCTGGAACCGTGCTTTCATCCCATGGTCACCAAAAAAATGTGCAAAAATATATGAATGGTTTGAGTGACCTTATTGTAAGCCATGCTACTAACTTTGAATAAGGAACAATACTGCCTAGTAGCACTTCCTCCAGAATCTGAAAACATTTTTCTTGAGCTGTAGTTTCTCTGTCCATAACCAGCGGCAACACCCCATCCAGCCATAGACTGAAAGTCAAGAATGGTAGTGAGCACCAAGGCAAGGAAGCAATATATAAAATTATATGGGTTTTCCAGTAGCGTGATACATGTGAGTGATTATTCTGAATTATTTCCAAGTATCCATTCATTTCCAGAAGATTTAGCTCAATGGTTCTCTGATCTGTGCACTACCAATTAACAAAATGCAGTCAATCTGGTGTACAAAGCTGTGTAAACAGATGATCACTTTTACTATTCATCTCTGCTTGTGAAGTAATAAGTCATCCCCCCAGAAGAGCTTGACATTAATTTGGTACTGACCCCGCAACAAAACAGGTCAGGTAGCGGCTCTTGCAAGGCCCCACATGAATGGCACAATACCGATCAAGAGCTCAATAAAACAAATAACGGAAATAATGCCCCTAGCCTAAAAGCAATAACATCAGCTTCACTATGATGGCAAATAGAATTACAAACTTACAAGAACTGCTACACTTCTAAACAGAGCTGCAAGATCAATGTAACTGAAATCACAACTGCATCTAATGTTTGTGTGCCTACCCTCACCTGTGAACCATGGTACATGCAGGCCTTTCTTGAAGGAGAGACGTAAGTGATATCATAGCTTGTCTTCGCACGGACAGCGCTGGATCCATACAGCGATCATGTAGGGTCATCACATCCTAAAATTAACAAAATCATCTCTTGTCCACCATGATAATAAAGGTATGAAACATACCACCTTTTGCAAAAGGTGAGACTCAAAACGATTGTACTGTCAACTTGCCCGTGCCCAGATCAGAGCCCTTGAAAATATGATAATTCTACAAACATTTATAGATGTTTGACTACAATGTAATAAACTGTACTTACAGCTTTCTCAAGAGAATCCAGGTTAAGGGTGATTACACTTTCTAGAGCCTTCAAAACAGAACAAGTATACATTACTGTTGACAGGTTTAAGTCACTTTGGATAACAACTTGACAGTAGAAACACTGAGGACAATGGTAATCTTGGCATTCACTTGCTAAGCATAAACCTAAAACTAAACTGAAAACAAGTTAGATATAAATGCTAACAAGGTTGGAACTTGATAAAATAAGGAATTAACTGAATTTGAAGAGGGGTGAATAGAGAGAATCTGGAAATTCTGCTTCACAATGATAGAAAAACCTGACATTGAAGGATCAAAGAGCAATGTCGCTAAGAACGCTTGGCTGCCCAAGCCGGTTAGAGTTGACTTGTGCATGGTTGCCACATGCATAACTTTTAAAAATTCCCTGACTTTTCCCTGATAAAAATAAAATTTTCCCTGATCAAATAAATACAAAATGACAGATACTGCGTAATAGCGGCTTCTAGCTTCATTTTTCAGCTCTCCTTTCCACTCTTCTTCGTTTCCGTAAATATATCGTTGAGATCAAAGTGAACCCAAATGTTTCTTCTAGCCTTCAATGGCATTAAATCAGCCGTGTTAAATTATTTCCATTTTCCCTGGCTTATCTTCAAAATGTCGATTTCCCCTGACTTAAAATAAAATTCCCTGACTTTTCCCTGACCTTGAAGAATATTTTTTCCCTTCAACTATTTCCTGACCTGTGGCAACCCTGTTGTGGCATTAAGTGTTACAGGCTACAGCCCTTATTGACTGCCCAGCCGATGACAATAAATACACTTGAGCACAGTTAGAAGGAGGACAAAGAGGAAAGAATTGGTTGGTGTCGTTCATGACAAAAATAGACAATGAGCTGGTGTAGAATCATACAGTTACTAAAATTAAATATATCACACCTGTAGGGCAGCTTTTCGAACACCAACTTTTTCATCACATGTTCTTCTTCTGATTATTGAGCCAATGGTTCTTGTCTCTGCTTGTTGACCTTATGAGTTTACAATAAAGAAGGAAATCACCATAAGAAAGAGCTGAGATTCATCCTTAGTACCTGTATCACTCATTTAACAAAGTCCATCAGTGGCTCACCATTACTTTGTCTGTTTACTGTTGGTGTGCCCTCTGCTGGTCTTTTTAGTGGCTCTCGCAGTGTTTCTTTCACTCTTGTTACTAGTGAACTGTTTTCAGATGTTGCACACTGAGCAAAGTACTGCAAAGCTTTGGCACGAACTCTAAAAATAACAACAAAATTGCAGGGGTGAAACTGCTGCAATGCAGCATATATTTAATAGTCATTTTCACAAATCCTTATGCAGCAACAACACTGGAAACAACTCTTTATTAATTAGAGCTTTCTAAGTTCTTGTTTGACTGTCTGTCTGTCTGATAGACTGACTGACTGTCCAAATAACTGTATGATTCACTGACCATCTTACTGACTGATGGATGGACGGACAGACAGACAGACTGTCTAATGGCAGACAGAGCAATGAATCCCATAGACTGAGTGATACAACCTGCCTACCACCCAACCCTCAAGCTAACTGACTACATAATTTCATTTGGATTGACATGTGAAAACTTATTAAAAATCTGGCAAATTGCATTAACCTCACAATAGTTGACTGAATCACAAGTAGTTTTGCACTACACACTTACGTTGGGGCCTTATCAGAACACCTGGCTATAACAGTGTCCAGCAAATACTTCTTACTAAGAAACTTCTTGATGGTGTCATAGGATAAATTCTCTGTAGGAAAATAAAAATACAGACCAGTAAGGATCTCTTAGCTGGCAAAAACAAAAGCACAAATAAATGCATGTAAATTAAGAATAACTCTGCATAATTTGGAGGGATTTAAGCTATATGGCAAGGCAACATTTTTCTAGAAAATAGGTTAGTGAAACTTGGGATAGCTATTGACCATAACCATTAGAGTATTTTGATTGTAAGGGATTGTAATCATGAGCAAAATATCAGTATACCTATAACCTTCAAATCTGATGTCAAAATCTGATGGATTTTAGTAATCACCAAATTTAAATTGTACAACCACACAATATATCCTGTTTGCAACCAGCTCACCCCTCAACCAAGATGGAATTAATCTAGTATATATTTAATGCAAATTGCAATGGCTACTTACCATTTGAAAGAGGTTGGTCTGGCTCAACCAACAGTAGTGAAATAACATCCAGTGCAAAAATTCTGTAATTTATCTGTAACAAAAAAAAAAAAAAAAAACTTAAAATAGTAATCACAAGACGTTTGTGTTGTTGCTTCCATGTATCAACAACAACAACAATGTTCAACAACATTTATTTATTCATTTATTTGTTTGTTTATACCAAATGGAAATAAAGAATGATACATTAATTTTGAAGCTTACAATTATGGTGTTAGCTCTTATAACAACCGTACAGCTAAAAAAATTAAGCAGCTATCTATAGGATACAAGACAGAATTGTGGCAAGACTTCATAAGCTGCATAAAAAATCTGTCATAAGTCATCCCTATTTATTAGTTATAGATCCTTGAAGGATCTAAAGAATATCTTAAACACATTGATGACTCTGTGAAGACATTGACTCAAATGACTTAGCAAAGATCCTTGCAAAGAGAAATCCTAATGGATTATGAAGGAGTAAAGCAATTTTTGCTAAGAAGAATTGCTACAATCCTCCATATCCATCAGAATTGTGACCACCACCAAACGATTGTTGTAAGATCCTTAACAATTTGGACAGGATCCTGGAAGAATCAAGATCTTTGGGATTTTATTATAATAAAGGAAGACCATCAAAGATCCTCATAAAGGAAGATTCTTAACA